ATTGCCTTAGGGACAAATTTGTGAAAATATTTGAAAGAGTATTTCTGAATAACAAGGCTATGTAGAGAAAAGATGTTGCGGTTTCTCACATACTTAAGGAGAGGGGGATACCAAGATTATTTCAAGGTCGTTGTGTAAAATGAGTTTAAATTTCATAAACTTTTCAAAAGCAAAGAAAAAAGAGAATGTAAGATATAGCATGTAGGCATACAAGTGTTCTCATAAATTCATGACCTTGGTTCACTTTAAAAATTGTGTATCACTAAAAAAAAAGTCTTCCACAAAGATCCATAAGGTAAGGAGTTAAACACTGTTCTGTGTGAAATGTTTAAAACTTGCAGGAAATGAAAATACAAATTAACTTTCCTTGACCTTGAATAAAAAACTTTTGCCTGTATCACTATATATATATATGTGTGTGTGTGTGTGTGTGTGTGTAACAGAAGAATAATACAGACCAAAATGCTCCCTTGTTAAAAAAACTAATTTGGGTTGTATCAGGTTCTATTTATCTGGATTATTATCAATCTGGATACACTTTAGGGAAAAAATGTTTTAAGATTACTGTAGGTAGACAATGGTATAATAGTTACAGCTTTATTTCTGTAATAAGTTCAGATACCTGAACATTGATTAGAACTTACTATATTTCTCCAACTATAAGCCTGTACTTTAAGTATGCCTTTTGATATTTTTTTGTGATAAACCGATCAAGAGGTGCCCATACATTATTTTCACTACAAAAGCAAATGCCCACATGTTAATTACGGCTTACTCTACTTCTCCTAGAATAAGCCCAGGTGCCAATACATTAATTATGGCTTGCGTTGTTTTTTCAATAAACCAAGATGCACATTTATCATGAAGATCAACACTGTAATAATGTATTGAGGTGGGCTCATCTCAAGACATGTGACTTTCATTTACTTTCCTTCTGAACATGTAACAGATGGGCTTATTACAAGACAATCGTGTGACTTTCGTTGACTTTTCCAGTGAACCTGTTACAGATGGGCTTATTTCAAGACAATCATGTGACTTTCGTTGACTTTTCCAGTGAACCTGTTACAGATGGGCTTATTTCAAGACAATCATGTGACTTTCGTAGACTTTTCCAGTGAACCTGTTATGAATGGGCTTATTACAAAACAAAGACATGACTTTTGTTGACTTCTCTACTGAACATCTTAGGGATGGGCTTATTAATAAACAATGATGTTACTTTCAATGATTACAGTACACATCTTTTTTTATTCTGTTTGTACTTACTGATGTATAATTGTCTTTAATGTAAATTTACAAACTCTAATTGAGTAATATCTTATATAAGTCTGTTTAAAATTCCTTGGCAACTTTATGATTCTGTAAGTAAAAATTTTATCAAACTTCAATTTTAGTAAATTATTAGATTCTAAAACATTGGTATGCCGATAAATTAATTTACATATAAAGCAGTGTTAAAATGTGTTTTGTTTCATGATAATAGACAGAATCACTAATGGTATGTGTCGGGTAACACTTTAATGTGATATCAATAATTATGATTAAATAACCTTTTCCAAATGTTAACAAGTAGGAAAGTTTTCCTTTCTTAATTTCTAACAATGTCTAACTACAACTTAAGTCTATCATTCAAAGTTGAGTTATATGTTTACTTTACCATGTAAGCAAAACAATATCAGCAATAGCGTATGAAATTTTCACATGGGAATTTGACATTAAATGAACATTTCAGATTAAAAAAAAAAAAAGCATTTCCTGTTTGTATCAAGTGTACTGATTTTTTTTTTTTTTTTTATGTAACAAAGTCCTTGAAATGTTTTACTTGTATAAATGCTGAGTATTGTTACAGTTTTAAAGCATCTATAAGATCCTGACTTCAGAAATATGAAAGAGACAAGTGTTTACATGATCCTGACTTTACTTTGCCGTATCAAGAACAAAACCAAATGGTGTTGTTCTGTAGACACATTTATTGATGTATTTTTTTTTTCTTTTTTGAAAAAGAAAATTGAAAATAACAATTGATGGGTGATTGAGTAGCTGAGCTGGAAAGAGAATTAGTATAGTTCTGGATGATGAAATAAGTTATAATTAATGTAAGATTAAAGCATACAGCAGTCGTAACCTAATAAATTAATCACACAACACTGAGAACTGGTTTGAGGCCTTAAATCATTATTTTTTTTAAATTGAGCATTTTCTTAGATTTTCGTCTACTTTTCAGAGATGTCACTCTTATCCTACCCTGTGTTACATGATATAAATATATTTTAATGGGGGGACTGGTGTAGCCGCAGGACTATCTGAACATGTGTATCGGTACTTAATAGTAGCAGACCAATTGCAATCACACCTTCTTCATTAAACGTGCAGGTATATTGAGCAATCGTTGATTAGTCTGGCAGCGATGTAGTTTACCTGATCAGAGTAAGTCATGAGGGATTACAATCATCACATCTTAATTAAGAAAGGAAATTCAGGGTTGACTTAATTAACCCTAGTGATCAAATAAATGATACAAGTAGATAGCAGATATACATCCTAGAATGTCGATACCTTGGCACTATTCCTAAATATTATAAAAAAAAAAGTACCATGTGAAAACAGCATGAAATGTTACCCGTAGTCATAAGGGACTTTCTCCCTCAGTGAAACCTAGGCGTAGAGGCAGTGTTTGTTCAAACTTAACAAATAATTCATTTGACTGTAACACCGAAAAAAATAGAAAGAAAGATAGTAATCTTATCTTTTTCACACAGCTCATTGTATAGATTTCTGTATTTCTATCACACAATTTCTGATGGCAACTGTTTTTATTAATAGATTGATTCCGAGTGTAGGTTTCCGAGACGATGTTGGCGATTGTATTCTTATCCACAACAGTTTATAGCTTTCGTCACTTCGGGCAGAAAAAATGTTAGGAGAGGAAAAAAGTAATTTGTTATTTGCGTGTCATCTTTGGTAGTAATTTGAATGAATTCTAGTATATATGGGATTTATGTTTGGCTGTTGTCCTCAAGCACTCAAATGATAGCGACAAAGGTGATCGATAGGTGTTCTTTAATTTCCAGATTGATGGCGTGCGATGTGCCACGGAAATTAAACTTGCATGACCATACAGGTGTCGAGTTGATTCTGAATAAGAAATGACTAACAAAAAAAACTGGTCCTGCAGATTTGATCAATTTGATTTTGTCTAGCTGAAATCAATACACACACTGGACCTGTTTAATCTGCAATGTTTACCTAGAAATAAATATTCAGAATTCATTTACTGGAAGGGATAATAATATTGACTAGAAAATCTGCAAATTGTAATTAACACAAACTCTCATCAACAGCACAGTAACGATGACATATCTCGGATTTCGCTTTGATTTTTTTTATTACTTATAACTGTAGTAAATGATCATATTGTACACATTTTACATTATTTCATTAACTCATCTTTTGATTTATTTCCTTGATAACTTAATAACCCAATATTTGGTTTGGAGTTAGATACCTCCAGATTTAATCATTTTATTTTGCTGTCTGTGTGGATGCTAAATAGGAGAGAGAAGGTTTGTATAGACATTCAGTTCTTCCTTCTAACTTACAAGGTTTATTTACTGGGATAAAATCTAGACTGATAATTGACCTATAAAAATATAAAATAAATGAAACCTTAAGTTAAAAAGGTTTTTTGTGACCGAGTTCATTTTTTGACAATTTTTTTAAAATGCCAGAATTATGTATGTTTCTCTTTTCTATTACATGTATCATTTTTTTTTGAGCTTTTCCAAGAATTAGAAGTCTGATCGAAGTTCCTCAAATTTTAGCAAGGGATACACTATGATTGTCTAATATACAGGAGAGGATGAAAATGTCACGGTCACTATTTCTAAAATTATAAAAAAGAATATCATACATTCGTAATATTAATATCAGTTTTCATATAATTTCTATGTTAATTAAGGTAGTGAAATTGATTCCCGGTTTGATGTAATGTTAGATTCTTTATAATAGAACATCCCTATCTTCATTTAAATTAAAAAAAAAAAAAATCTGTTGTTATCAATGTATGATATAAAATGACTCGACTGTTAGATGCTTTATAATAACCAACGTGGATTTTTATATTCCCTCTGCATGACCTTGAAGAATTAACCTACAGGTAAGTCGAATGGCTCAACATGGAATCTCATTTTACCACAGAGAATATACAGCCTTTGTTTTAGATTACTATGACGCCGTAGCTTTAACAACAATACTTGTTTAGTAAACCAACACAGAACCTGGTGTCAAAGATGCTTACAGAGGAGTCAGAGTCTGTTGAGGACCATAAAACTGCTTTATTCTTTATCTGTTTTGCTGATGTTTTCCTATTTTGAGACAACAACGTGGTTGTTTTTGATATTTTGAAGTAGTCAAGGCTATCAGAATCGTTAAAATAAGCAGTAGTGTAGGAGGTGCCCAATTCATAGTTTAGGTTGTGGGCTCAAGGCCAAATTAAAAAAAAATATTTATCTAGTTTACTTCTCAGTAGAAAAAGGGTTGATTTATCTAATAACACAGCCCGTATTAACTGGTATCATAATTATATGTGACTATGCCTACAGTATAAAGTGTCACACGGACAAGGCAGCTTAATTGTCAGGTAAAACAAATCTTAGACATCAGGATTAAAACTAAAGATTCAGAAGGATCTTTCTCTGTATGGATTACTAGAGGAATGATGAACATTATTGAGTTCTGAGACAGTAAATTATATTATAACAGAAAGGATTGGGAGCAGTGCAACATAACACTATGTATACTGAGCAGCTTACTTCAGCTACTCAACCTCGAAGTAAACATTTTCTTTGTGTGCTTTTCTGCTTTTACAAAGATTAATTGACTTCCTAGAAACCATTATCATCTGCTCCGTAGTATGTTAACTTTATCAAATTTCAGAATTGGTAGTTCAATATTTCTGTCTGTTTTCTGTTATTGATACCTGTTTTTTGTGTTCTCAGCAGTGAATCGTCACATTCTCAGAAAAGATCCAAGAAACGGCGCCGGCGACGCTCCCCTAGTTCTAGTTCTGACAGCCGATCTGCCAGCCCATCAGACAGTGACAGGTAGGTACCAGTATACATCACTTCACACAGTTACCTCCCCTTTCCGTACAGTTACCTCCCTTCTCCTAATGGTTACCTATTTTCTTAAATATAATTACCTCCCCTTTTGAAAAACAGATATTGAAACATTAATCTTGATTATACATACAATGGAAATTCATCTGATTTCTGATTTCTGTGACAATATCATTTTTCTTTACCACCGTAATTTGTGGTTGCCTTATCATCTGACCCCTGTCAGCACTCTTGTGACCAATTCACAGCCGACAATCTATTCCACCTCTCTCATGGGAGGATCACAAGAACGGTATTATTAGATATCCAAGGAAAGATGGACTAATGATCATGCATCTACTTCAGTGTTCGTATTTCCCTTAATGTGCAGAAATTACGGCTTCACTGTGGAAGACTCATCACCTCGGTGTACACAGAACACATTAGTGTTTATCGGGACAGATATAAGCTGTAAGATACAATTCACCTTCATTGGTGTTGAAATTTGTTTTGGGTGAAAATATAATATATGTTTTATTTGTCATAGCATGTGTGCTGGTGTACTGGAATCATGTATTTAGAGCATAGGTGGACAGATGATGTCATGATAAGACATGTGCCTTTCACCTTAGCTGAGTAAGTCCTTTTTAGGTCATCTGACCTGAAGAGTCAGGATGACCTATAGCCATTGTGTTTCGTCTGTCATCATAAACCTTGTGCTGTGCATTGTCCACCAAACTCTGTTTGCCATACATAAACATTTCCATTCAAATGACTATGACAGAAGGCTAAGGGTACTGATATTGAGCCTGTAGCATGATAGGATGTAGTGCCAGTTTGTTGATATGAATGACTTTGACCCACTTTCAAGGTCACAGGAGTCAAAATGTTAAAACCTTTAAACAACATCTTCTCAACAACCAAAAGGCGCAGGGTGCTGATATTGGGCCTGTAGCACGATGGAATGAAGGGCTACTAAGTTTGTTAAAATAAATTACCTTGACCCACTGTCAAGGTCACAGGGGTCAAATATGTTGAAATGCATAAGCAACCTCTCAATAACCAAAATGCGAAGGGTCTTGAAATTTGGCCTGTAGCATGCTTTTCTAACAAAGAATATGTGTGGAGTAATGGCATTTGTGTATTGCATGTATAAAGAACATGATGTCTTTTTTACAGGAAATGTCTTTATGAATCAACCAATGTCTTCTATGTAAGACATAGTGTAGATGAGCAATTTATTTTAAGCCTATTCATATATAGGTCTCTATAGTCAGATGACCCTTAAGACCTGTTGGCCTCTTGTTTATACATCCAATGAGCATCAATAAGTGTACATATGTGGAATATTTTCAGGGGTGTGAACAGTTTCCCACTCGAATCGTATACCAGTGGTTGTCAATAGTGAAGAGTAAAAGATGAACTGTATTTGATACACATTTCCTGGGGGAACATTGGGCCATATAATTACCCACATGGCATTCTGTCAGGTGATCTGATGGATTGAGGAATGGACAACCGCCAAGCATCTGTGAAGGGGAAAAGAACATAAAACTCCATACTAGATATGTAGGAATCTAGATACCTCCTTTACCTGTAGTGGGGGAACATAGATATGTAGGTATTGTGATACCTTGTGTACTTGTGATGGGGGAACATAGATATTTAGGTATCGTGATACCTTGTGTACCTATGATGGGGCTATCTCTATCAACTCCCACAACTACTTCTGACAAGTACAACATTAGTTAAGTAGGTGACCGGGAATAAAATTCAACACTATGGCCTTCTAGTAACTGTTCACTGACATTCAAATTCTGATATGATTGATTCACTGCCATTGGTAGATAGTCCTGATGTTAAGGTCACCAGGGGAACATTGAGTTATCTCCCCTGGTAGATGATCCTAATGTTTTAAATCACAAACAAATGTGTGTGTAATACATGGAACTTATTAGCATTGGGTTATATCCAGTGGTAGATGGTTCTATTATCATTTTTAGATTCTTAAGGGCCCATCAACACATTAAAGGTCATTAGGGCCATCAACCGGGGTAGATAGTGCTAATGTTTTCAATCACATAGAAATGTATGTGTGTTATACATGGAACCTTTTAACATGGAGTTGTCTCCCCTAGTAGTTGGTCCCACCATTTGCAGTCACCAGGAAATATGTGTGTAATACATGGAATCTAGTGATATTGAGTTATCTCCCTTGTTTTAAGTCACTAGGGAACTTGCATGTGTAATAAATGGAATGTACTAATATTGGGGTACAGCCTTTGGTAGATGACTCTGTTTTAACCCACCAGGAGACGTTTATGTGTAATACATGAAAACTTGTAGAGTTATTTCCCCTGGTAGATGGCCCTGATGTTTTTATGTTCCCAGGAGGCACATAATTATAAAACAATCAAAGTTCAGTCATGCTTTGAAGATTTTGTAATTAACTGAAAAATATAATGCTTTAAATGGACTTCAAAAGAAGTTTAAAAAAAACAACAACAAAAGCACATTAATCATAAAGAAATTTTCAAAGATTTTTTTTTCGTCCAATTCTGTCACTTTGAATTGAAGCTTCAATAAAATATGATTTGGTAAAAGTACTAAAGGCTGATCAATACATAGGAACTAATACATATAAATCTAAATTAGAAAATTGCAAAAATAATTCAACACAAAATTTGTTAATACTGCCATTGTGATTTATGGGAGAGGCATATTTTGTGGAATGAAAAATTTGTTTCATCCGCCAATCTTTTTAAATTTGATTGTGTGTGGTATCTGTTTTTGAATCACAAGCAATTAATATTGACAAGTCTTCTCATCTGATCTTAAATGTGTCGGTGTTAATGGGAAGATGAATTAGGATTGAAGAGGGAGGAGTGACTGGAAATACTTGAAAGGGTTAGGAGGGAAACACTAGAAACAGTGATCTTTATAGAGGGATGTTCTAAAGATCTCAGTTATAGGGGGACTAGGAAGAAGGTTATTAGAGATATTTGGAAGAAGGAGGCTGGAGATCTCGAGAAAGAGGCTGGAGATCTTGAGAAGAAGGAGGCTGGAGATCTTGAGAAGAAGGAAGCTGGAGATCTTGAGAAGCTGGGGATCTTGAGAAGGAGGAAGCTGGAGATCTTGAGAAGAAGGAAGCTGGAGATCTTGAGAAGAAGGAAGCTGGAGATCTTGAGAAGAAGGAAGCTGGAGATCTGAAGAAGAAAGGAGCTGGAGATCTTGAGAAGCTGGGGATCTTGAGAAGAAGGAAGCTGGAGATCTTGAGAAGCTGGAGATCTTGAGAAGGAGGAAGCTGGAGATCTTGAGAAGGAGGAAGCTGGAGATCTTGAGAAGAAGGAAGCTGGAGATCTTGAGAAGAAGGAAGCTGGAGATTTTGGGAAGAAGGAAACTTAAGATCTTGAGAAGAGGAGGCAAAGAATCTTTGGAAGAAGGCAGCTAAAGATTTCAGGATGAAGGAACCTGGAGATCTTGAGAAAAGGGAAGCTGAAAATCTAGAGAAGAGGAAAGCTAGAGATCTTGTGAAAGGGAAGCTAGGAATCTTTGGAAGATGAAAGCTGGAGATCTTGTGAAGGGGAAGCTGAAGATCTAGAAAATAGGGAGGCTGGAGATCTTGTGAAGAAGGAAGATAAAGATTTTAAGAAGATAGAAGCTAAAGATCTTGTTAAGGGGGAAGCTTCAGATCTAAAAAATAAGGAAGCTAGAGATCTTGTGAAGAGGAAGCTGAAGATCTAGAAAAGAGGGAGGCTAGAGATTTTATGAAGACGGAAACTACAGATCTAGAGATTACAGAAGCTAAGGGTCTTGATAAAGGGAAGCAAGAGACTGTTGGAAGATGGAAGCTAGAAAGCTAGGGAAGAGGGAAGCTAGAAAGCTAAGCTAGAAAGCTAGGGAAGAGGGAAGCTAGAAAGCTAGGGAAGAGGGAAACTAGAAAGCTAGGGAAGAGGGAAGCTAGAAAGCTAGGGAAGAGGGAAGCTAGAAAGCTAGGGAAGAGGGAAGCTGGAAAGCTAGGGAAGAGGGAAGCTGGAAAGCTAGGGAAGAGGGAAGCTAGAAAGCTAGGGAAGAGGGAAGCTAGAAAGCTAGGGAAGAGGGAAGCTGGAAAGCTAGGGAAGAGGGAAGCTGGAAAGCTAGGGAAGAGGGAAGCTAGAAAGCTAGGGAAGAGGGAAGCTAGAAAGCTAAGCTAGAAAGCTAGGGAAGAGGGAAGCTGGAAAGCTAGGGAAGAGGGAAGCTAGAAAGCTAGGGAAGATGGAAGCTAGAAAGCTAGGGAAGATGGAAGCTAGAAAGCTAGGGAAGATGGAAGCTAGAAAGCTAGGGAAGAGGGAAGCTGGAAAGCTAGGGAAGAGGGAAGCTAGAAAGCTAGGGAAGAGGGAAGCTAGAAAGCTAGGAAAGAGGGAAGCTAGAAAGCTAGGGAAGATGGAAGCTAGAAAGCTAGGGAAGAGGGAAGCTAGAAAGCTAGGGAAGCTTTAGACCTCGAGAAGTAGCTAATTAAAGATCATGGAGAAAAGGCAAGCCAGAGAAGATAGAGGAAGTAAGGAAGTGATCTTAGTAAGAAGGAAAGTGAAGTATCTAGGGGATTACATCATGTTGGATGAGTTATAAGGTGTACTGAACTCTGTGATTTATGTTTATAAGCTATATTAGATATTGACAGGGACTGGAATACACTGTTAATATCAGGCTTTAGCATTCGTTCAGTATCCACATAACCCCACACCATTCGGCTTTATCATTCTGTAATAACATCCATCACATAACTGTCTTACTATCAGAGTAAAAACACCCAACACATGACTGTCCTGTTATCAGTGAAATAGCACTTATTATATAACTACCCTGGTATCAGTGTAATAACATCCATCACATAACTCAAACTACCATGTTATCAGTTATTATATCACATAGCTACCCTGATGTCAGTGTTATAACATAACTATCTTGTTGTTATTATAACACATAGCTTCCCTGATGTCAGTGTTATAACATAACTATCTTGCTGT